TTTTTTTCTCTTTGACACGATCTAAAATAAATACTTCTTAGTAATATAAATCAACCATTGAATTTCTTGTTATCAAACTATTTACACTTCACACACTTCTAAATATTCTGTATTTAAGGCTGAAATATTTCGTTAGTGTTGCCTGATCATCGCATCGAAGACTCTATACACCATAAGACTAGACATTTGTTTAGTGTTTTGTTAATGTCAGCAGTCAAAAGTTATTAGACAGAGACAAGAGGGCTCTTCTGTACTGTAATATAACGGTTGTCTCGCTCTTGAGAGATCGATTGCTACGATAGCAAACATATGAAATGAAATACCCGGAGAAAGACATAATTTGGCAAAAAATTGCCAAATGGTTCAGAAATAAAGCGCAGTCTTCCACTCTCTACATTCGATTGAATCGTTACGAGGCATGGGGCATGGGGGTGTTTTTTAGAGCATATGCGCCACTGTATACATTTTAGTGTTTATATTAATTCAAATTGCTTTGTAGTACCTAAAGACCTTAGTGATGATCGACGTTAGAATCCGTTGTTACCCGAGGGCCACAGACTTCTAAGATATGCGAAAATATTATGTGAAATGATATGAAATATAGTATCGATTTAGCCACGACTACATTTTAGTAAGAGTGAAAATTTGTGAAATAAAATGTTTAATTATTTATTTATTTATATGGAGAATACAATACATAAGTCCTTCAAGGGCCAGTTCAATGTAGTAAAGCATCTACATCTAACACGCCAGTATAGTTTGCATTAAAAAATTAAAGTTTACACTTAGAGCTATACAAATATATTTAATTAGTCGTATATATATATTAGTTACTAGATGAACCGCAGTCGCCAGATGCAGCGCAGTCACTGAGTGTAGCACAGCAACTAGGTGCAGCGCAGTAGTCAAGTGCAGCACAGTCGTTAAATGCAACGCAGTTAATGAATGCAGCACAGCAGCTAGGTGCAGCTCAGTCGCTGGATGCGGCACAACAACTAGGTGCAATTCAGTTGCCAGTTGCAGCGCAGTCGCTTTGTACAGCACAGCAGCTAGGTGCAGCGCAGTCGCTGGATGCAGAACAGCAGCTAAGTGGAGCGCAGTCGCTAGGTGCAGGGCAATAGCAGCTAGGTGCAACGAAGTTTGCAGTACAGTTTGACATATGCAGTTTGGCTCCCTAGTCATATACAAGAGATTCCACAAACGAGATTAATACTATTCAGAACTTTGTACCATTGTGGTAGCATTCTACAATATATCCGTCCCCTAAGTTTAAATCATGTAAAACCATACGACGCCTAAACAGTTTTACCACTCTTTAAGATTTATTTAAAACCTTTACAGACCCTAGTTAACAGCCTGTCATCCACTCGCAAAATCACATAGATTAGGGAAGTGAGGCCCCCAACAACATAAGCGAACAACATATTATTCACTATACAACCGCGGCAAGGTATTTAAATACGGAAGGCGTTATTGGAATGCGAAAATCAGATATTAGCAGATAGTGTCAAAAATAAATCAATGGGCGTAAGATGATATATACATGCTAGCTCACCTATTTAATCGTTAATGGAGGATGTATTACTAAATCAATCGGGACCATTTTTGCACGAAACTTGCAGGTGGTTCTCGCGAATATTGGGTACCAGTTTTTCACAGGATGGGAAGTTATAGACAAAAACATGAAAAAATTGTACGAGTTTTTTAGGTTATTTTACGTTTATCTATATGGTGGCCGTATTTTTACAAATGAAAAATTTATTAGCCCACCGTGCGCTGATTGGCGTAATTGCTCACGGTATTGATGGAACGACGAAACGATTAGAAAAAGCTAAACGAAACTAGGGAATGCAAATATAAATAAAAAATGAAAGCATACTTGACGGTATAAAGAATTAAAAGAAAATTCATTGTTACTACTTATTATATAATGTAGGGAAACATTAAATATGTATACAATTGCCGAAAAGTTACAATATAAAAAGAATCTTATAAAAATTTTTTAAAGAGTTTATGTATTATGAACTTTTCGGATGGTAGAACCTATCAGACACACCTTATCTCATTGCTATGATCGGGATTTATCCTTCAAAATACCTCAAACGTAAGTGACGTTTATAATTTATCCCAAGTTTCAGAGACATTTTATCAACTTTTTAAAAAGTTATAAGAAGTCATAAGATGTATATATTATGTGTCGATAACTTACAAGAGGTTGTAGAAGTTATAAGAAAGTTGTTATAATCCGATTACTTAAACCTATAACATACAAGTTATACATGCTGCTCTGAAATTTGTTATAAGATTTTTTGTTTTTATGACCAGCCACTCAGAGGATGCTTCCTGACCATGCGGTCATCGGGAAGGGTTGCAAGGAAAGTGCGGTGAAGAAATATCAACGAGAGTTTGTGAACGTTCGTCTCGATAATGAGGATATTAGGTTTAAGAATTTATAAGAAGGTATAGATCTTGGAACTAATGAAATTAGGCATTTCACATAGGTACTAGCGTCGTTCAAGGCATGTCAAAAATTTGCAGTTGCATAATGTCTCTGAAAGTTGTCATAATTCGATTCAAAAACTGCGACTATTCTTGGCGGACTATTTTCACTTTACTAAATACTTCGAATTCAGCTGTTTTTGCCAAATAGCTAAAAATGAAGACGAAAACTAGTTTTCAGCTTAGAGATTACATCCCTGATTTTAATATTTTAAAAACTGTCGTTTTTTCAGCAGTCGTATTTCTTTTCGCAACAATACTGGATGTGGATTTTACGTTGAATAGGACAAACTCTTGACATCTAACCGACTCACAAAACTAATGTAAATACTGGACCCTACGTGGATCGATATGTAGCTGCTAAATCAATCTTCACAAAAGTAAAAATATATATGAGATATGTGTTAAGTACCTCGCTGTGATGGGTAACTTAAAGGGTCAGTCTTCAAAATAATTTAAGAAATCTATTACAAATGTTATGCTTTTTAATGATTTTTTTTTTTTTTTTTTACTTTGCTTTTATTTATTTCAGTATTCTTTTGTTATCATTATTAATATTTCTTTTTTAATTTGTAATTGCATTTTTATAAGCAAAGTTAACACAAATCGCATAATTATACACATTTAAAGCTTTCTCGTTTTAAGTTGAAAATTTTAAGGAATTTTGCTTAAAAATCAATTCAAATGAATGAAAAAAAAAAAGGAAAAAAAGAAGGAGTTAATAAGTTTAATTAATTAGTTGTAATCATGCATAAATCAATAGGTAGATGAGAGATGTATATTGGATTATGTACCGAATGTTTTTCAAACGACCACGATCAACTTGTATTGGAATCAGAAAAGCCGCTAATAAATTAAAATACGTAAGTCAGAAATAATAGCAAAAAGCAAAAATGAAACATTAATTTACGATTATTTGAAAGAATCCATCTCCCGTAATGAGTATGTACGTATGCCAACATATGTACTATAATATTACTAATAAAATCATTTCAATCCACCTGGAATAACACTATTCTTGTTTTTTTTTTTTGTAAAAACAAAAAATGAAAAAAAAAAAATGAAAAAAATAAAATTCGCTTTATTCTAGCAATCACTTAAGTATTTGTTTTCACATAAGTTTCGTTTTACAAAAAAATTACGCTAATATTATCATTTATATATTCGATATAATAATGAATTATAAATTGCATTAATTGAATAATTCAATAGGAAATAATTATTAACAAATTTATTTATACATTAATTTATATAATTTAATTAAATATAAAAATCCAGAGAAAGAAAACCTCTTAAATATGATAAACATTCAGTCAATTAATTTACATACCGCACTTAAAAGTCGCATTTAAATCTAATTAATTACCAAAAAAAAAAAAAAAAAAAAAAACAAAAAGAAAAAGAAAAACTAGACAGAACCTTCTAGTCGACCAAGGCCGACTCTTAGATACCCTATATCGTTTCGCCCGACACTGTTAATCACTCATTTTCGTAACAATACACCAAAAGTTACATATTATTTTCATGTAAAGGCATACTTTTCATAAAATCCCCACGTGTTGGACGGTAGTCACATTGTCAAGTGGCTTGGTCCAAATTTAGCAAACTTAATTTACTTGTCAAAGATTTTATTTTTTAGATTAGATTAAACTTTGTCGCTATAGCAGGGGTTTACTTTCATGAGCACCCCTATATTTGGCCTATGTGATCTAAATTTTCTATGGTTAGCTTACTAAGGACCAATTCGCATCGTAAAATATAAAAAATTAGTTGTTTTTGGTAGAGAGATTTATTCCCCTTATATAGATTAAAATCCAAAAAATAGCTTTACTTGGTCCAAATTTGGCAAAGTTAATTTTTATGTCAAATTGTTGTTATAAACGAAATTTCATCAAGACGTATTGAAAATTTGGCATTTTTACCATAAAGAGGTGCTGTGTTCATAAGAAAGGGGATTCGAAAAATTGCCTAAGCGAAGTTTTCCGGGAAATTCTGAAAATGATACTATTTTTATATAGGGAGAGTGGTGGAAAAATTAACGAAGACGTTATTACTTTTCGAATAATCAGATACTTTAATTCGTCCAAAGAAAACAGACAGACACAAGAACAACTAAGCATTCAATGAAATATATTCGACAATTTGCAAAGATTGGCGAAGTTTGTATGAAATAGCCGCGGAGATCGGACGAAGTAATTTAATATGAGGCTGTTGCGCAAACAGGACTACGGGAAAAGATAGGGAGCGTGTTAAGGAAGTCATGAATCGATATCTTATCTCTCTCACTAAGGTAAAGAAGTTAGGTTTAGGATCAACTTCGATGATTTATAGATAGAATATTAAAATCCTTATCATGAAATAAAGTCATCGAAGCGTATTTCTATTCCTTATAATCAATATAACATCTACACTCGTCTATTTGACTTGTTGTAAACTAACCAACTCAAAGCGAAGATCACAAATTTTGATATTTTTATTGCAATTATAGACGGACGGACATGACTTAATCAATTTCGCTATTCACGCTGATCAAGGAAATATTTATTTTTTGAATTTTTTGAATTTTTTTTAATAATTATGGATATAATTTAATCAGGGATGAAATAAAAAATACATTACACAATAAATATTATTTAATAATAATTATACATGCACATAGACATTCATACACATTAACAAATATATATGTATATATGACAATCGTAACAAAAAATTTATTATTAATCGTTAAATATCATTATTAGTATTAACACATAACTGTTTTCATCATTATTGCGATTAATCTTAAATATATAAAAAATTTTTGAAAAGAAAAAAAAACGCAACAAATTAAAAGCTCGCACAAAATTTAAAATAATTATATCTATTAATTATTAAATTCATTGTTTGTTTCCTCACTTTCGCCAACCATTTTTTTTTTAATTGTTATAATTTTTTTTATTTGATTTTCTATAGTAAAATTATCCTAAACTATTTCTTTTACTAGATTATAACCAAAAAAAAAAAAAGAAAACTTTGCTAAACCTTAATAATTATTGTTTGAACACAAACAGTCCAGTTGGATCCCATTCGCTATCATCGCTGGGTCCGAAGCAATCATCAAAATACCATTCCATCGTTTGGTAGACATGCGATAGTGATTTTGTCATATAATGATCCTCATCGGGATAGACCTGTTATAATTTTAAATGGAATATCAATTATGATAAAACAATCATATCTGCTATATGTTAATTTTACCTGATGGCGAAATTTCACCTCTTGATCCACCAAAGCTCTCACCAGCATTAATGTATGCTCTTGGTGTATCAAAGTATCGGCGGTACCGTGTATTAACATTAAATTTCTGCCTTTAATGTTACCAGCACGCATTGTCAGATCGGCATCTTGCAAAGCATGGACATAATCGCCTTTAAGGGGTATATATCGTTCAGTGAAAAAGGAATCTGCCGAGTAATAAGAAAACGATCAAGCACATTCTATCAAAAAGATTAATAAAGTTTAGATGACTTTTCTTCTGATTTAAAGTGGAATAACACTAAAAAGTAATCCAGGCAATTATCAGAGCGTTTTATGTCGAATTAATATTTTAAATTTAGCGATTCGTTCATACATTAATTGCAAGGTAAACTTTTTTCCAAGACTTAATGAAAGTATTTATCGAACCTGTGCTTTGAATACGATGACGAAAAATGTCAGAAACTTGCGATTTTAAAAGTTTAGTAGACATAATGGGAAAGCAGACTGACGTGAGTAAGTCAGTTCTATGACTTGCGAGAATTAAGAAGATATGTCCATTATGAGGTCTCCGAAGGGGACTTGAAAAATGTTTGTGGTAATTCTTCGATATCGTTGAGTTTATTCCTTACGCGATGAGGTCCAATGATGACTCTACCAAATATTATTTTAAGGTTTCCTATCGATATATATATATATGTTATCTGCATCGTAAGTTAGTGAAAATATATTGAAAATGCTCGAAAGTTGTTTTATTTATTTTCATAAATTGAACGTGAGTTTGCGATCGAACCATATCGGGGTTTTTGTCGAATTAAACCTTTGCACCCGAACGGCGCCCGAGAGGCGCCATTACTATTTTTGATAATATTGCACATTAAATTGTGCATGTGTTGTAAATTTTTTTATTTGGTGTAGGATTATTAAAACTACTGGCGAGTAGCTGAATACCCACACTAAAAAATGGTTCGGGTGCGAAGGGTTTAAAAATGAACAAACGAGCGATCAACTTCAATTCAGTGATGGTGAGAATTCCAACAAGATTCGGGTGAGACAGATCTACGCTCAGAAAAATAAAGTTTGTATATGTCTCTTTTACTTTGTTTGTAGTTTTAAAAGATTTTTTTGAATTATAAACTTACAGTGATAACCAAACGATGCTATAGGATTGACGGCTACGCCGCATTGTAAAACCTGTTGCGAGTCATCGATAAGGGTCATGGCCGTGGCATAGCCGCCATAACCCCAACCGTAAGCACATATGCGCGAGGGATCTATAAATTTGAAATTGTCGCGCAAGTAGCTACAAAATGAATGGATGTTACTTTCGGTATTCGCTTTAGCAAAGAAAGATTAAAGCGCTTACGTTAGTACTGCTAACTGGTCTTCCACTTCCACCTTACCCAATTTACCATGTATTTGTGTGCGTAAAAGTTCGCCTTGATAGCCGCTACCACGACCATCAATTTGTGCTACAATGAAAGAGCGTTGACTACATAAATACCAATTCCAGTTGAGATGGAAACGCTCGTTAACTAGTTGTGAACCAGGTGCAGCATCACTGAAAGGACAGCATAAAATAAACATATTTCCTATTTATCGTTTATTTAACTTACATTTGCAATATCATTGGGAATGCGACCTCTTCATCTTCTTTCATTCCTGGGGGTAAATATAATTTTACTTGTGCATGAAAGCCATGACGTATTTCGACGCTAAATGTTCGTATTTGCGGTACGGCGTACTGCTGGAAGCGATGTCTTAAATTATCCCCAGCATTTAAGATCAAAGTTTTTAAATTATTTTGTGTTTCTACTAAATAGACGCTAGGTGTTTCGGGACCGAGACATTCTTGCACATAATATGAGAAATTCTTACTAAAGTAAATATTATTGAATCGACAATTGCGTGGTATCACGTAAACCTGTTCCCCCTCTTCAATATCATCCTCGTCATAGCCGTAATACAGTGCTCTGGTATGAGGCAATCTATACGTTGCCGGTGAGTTATCACATGTCAGGCAGGTGGGCTGTGATGAGGTGATATAAGTACGATTCGTTTTGGTAACATTCAATTTAAGGCTGATCTTGTAGAGGTGCCTTTCACCAGGACGCTTCTCAGGAGCAGCCATAAAATAAACAATTTCATTCGCCTCATCCCATCCCACAATTTCGGTTACTTCAAAACGGCCCATAGTTAAAGGAACCGGTCTACGATCCAGCGATGATATGAAGACTACATGACGAAAGTGTCCATGTTCGCCATCACGTACGGGCAGACGCTTTAACAAATAACCGCCGTTACTTATCTCATACGTTGTCTGCCCATTTGTTATATTTTGAAAGTTTTCCGGTTTACCATTTGTGGCATTAATTGTAGCGATATTGTGATTTCTCAGTTGTTGACTGAGAAGTACGGAAAAGATGGGTCTTTCGGCTGGTAGTACCCAACCGTCGTTGATGGTTACCTCTGTGTGTACTGTGCTACAATGAAAGTCGGGCGCTCTGCACACTACAGTAGTGGCTTTAGTTTGAGCACGATTAGTTACAGTGACCGACAGATCGATAGGTGAAGCCCAGGTAAGAGCACCTACGTAACTACCATTTGCCAGTTCCGGTGGCAATTTTATTTGTGTAGGAAATATATACTTGAGGACGGAAAGATTTACTACATTCACGGTGATATTAGGATTGGTGGATCCAGCTTTTGGGTAACGTTGCGACAAAACCGCCGGGTATTTCAGATCATCACCCATCCAGGTGTATCTGAAGCAAAGAAATGATTTTATTCACTTATATTAATATTCTTTTAATTATTTAGCTTAGTTTCCTTAACAAAATTTAAATTTATTGAGTCTATCGCATAACTACTTAGTGAAATTCGATGGGATGTTGCTAACAGTTTTTTTTTCGCGCTTGAACATTTATCAAACATAAATGTTCGTCGTGCAACATTTTTGGTAATATTTTAAGATAGTAATCATCGCAATATATGACTTATGACAAATGTGATGTAAAATTAAGAAACGCATATTTTACTGGGCAAATGTGTCACACACATTTCCTTTTAAGTCTCACAGGAATCAGGACAGTAATCATATTTGATAATCATTTGTATGACAACAACAAAGATCACATTTACTCTCAATAACGATGAATTAACTGTCGCGGGACATTTATGTTTTTTCTCTACGAATTTATACGAACACACACATCACTTTAAGCACAAATAAAGATAACTGCATTTATCCTAAACAACGGCCCTTTAGGCACTTAATTCTGTAAAATGGTGGGCTAATAGTCTTTTCGGCATTTTCTCTTTGATATTGGTTTTTACAAAGAGATGCTCGCATTTTTGAATCTAAAAGAAGTGAAGATATTAAAACAGATGTACACTCACTTGTATTCGGTGACCTCGCTATCATTAAATGTTAGAAAGGCCAAATAAAGACCGTCCAGTGAGAATGCCATACTTGTTCGTTTACTATTTAGTTCGGGCACATTTTCATAGGTCCAATCCGGTATGCCATTATAAATTATACCTGCCTGACCTGCAGCGAACATTTGAAATAATAGCACATGATCATAGTACACGCATACATAAAAATCCATATCTACCCGTAGCTGTTATCCGACATACAAGTTCACCTTGCACCTTCGGCTTGTAGTAAATGTCGTTTTCATAAACGAAAGCAATCGCTTGATTTTGGGTGAAAGCTTTATTCATATTAATACTGGTAGACAATGAAGCCGAAGCCTGAACTTGGGCAGGTGTTGGTGGTTTAACTAAATTCGCTGCACTAGCGCCATTCGCTAAACTATTTAATAATAGGCTACCAGTTGTGCTTAGTGGTGTTGAAATAGTTGTGGCAGTAGCAGTCAATGTACTGCTCTGTTGCTGTATATTGAATGCATTTAGAGAAACCTGTTGATTATGATAAGGAGCCCATAACACATATTGTAAACGTGGTGCTTCCTCTAAATTTTCAGTTGGTCCCAGGGGAAAACGATTCTCGGTTAACACTTCATATACATGATGCCTGCAAAACGAATATTAATTAAAAAATGAAATTAATACAAATGTTAAAAATATTAGAAGAAATTGTATGCGACAGTATATAGTAGGGTGTGTATTATTTGAAGAGATGGCCATGCAATATATAAAAAAATTTTTAAATTGAGTTAAGCTGGTTGTGGTATTTACTACATATCCATACTGTTTCATGGATCTATTGACTTTTCTGAAAAGGATGATGAGCTCCAACGAACCTTCTAGTAAATCCTTAAGAGGATAATCGACGTATAATCGAAGAGCAATTATAACAACAGCAGAAGCTAAATCATTAATAAAATATTCACAACAACCACTAAATAAATAGTAATAAAAAGTGGACCGAATTTTTGATAATGTTGGACTGCGTGTTTGCGCAGGGTCTGGCTAAATCGGGACCCGATACCGAACGCTTTGCAATGTGTTGACTTTGTGAGCGGTATGGGCACGCGAAGTATACGGGCTTGACGGAGAAGACTGCGGATTGACTGTGATTGACGCACGTAGAGTGAGGCGTGTGGACCGTCCTCTACGGTGAGTATTCAAATTTCGACCTCGGAGCGTATCGCATCTCCGAATAATGATTCGAGTGGTGTGCCAATCGGGGACCTGCCGTCCGTTGATCTTGTCTGTTTGCCTGATCGCCTTTAACGAATAAAGATTTGGACCAAATGGATCAGCTGGCAAAACCTAAAGACGAGCAAAAATCTTACCCAGGGCGCCTAGGGGTACGAATGCTGAAGCTGTAAAAAATACTCCGAGTATGTCTCCAGTTTAGGGCGAAGGCCCCACATCTTTTGACGCATCCTATTGCGCGTCTCATAATTATGCAATCGGTCTGTTTACAAAGGCTGACATAACTAGTCAAGTTGGGTTAGCCACAAGCAGTGCTGGGGCGCAATCCTCCTGTCCTAATAATAGTGGAAGAAGTGAATTAGTTTCGATACCACCGAGGAAGGCGGGGTTTATTTCCGGAGTGGCTCCCTATACGGTAGTGTGGTAGTAGATGACATGAAATTCGTAATATCATTCGAAGCAGAATTTCTGTCTTTAAGTCGAAACCAACAGAAGAAAGGATGATTGTTTCGCTCAAAGAGCTAATGCCCACGGAACACCTCAATGCTGTCTTGAGCAAGTCATTGTGGCCGAAGGATACTCTGGTTAGAAATTTCACGCACTTGGCAGTTAAGCTAAATAAACCGCATAATGTATCGCCGGTAAAATACTAGGTATGCAACTTAGGGAAGGTCCAGTAACATTTATTTAGCAAAACGTTCTACGGGGTCGTTCTACTTTTCTAAATTCGGTGAGCGCGGAGTTTTCTTCTCTAGGGTTCATTGAAACCTGGTGACGGCCTTATTTACATTCGTCGGAACTTTTTGACAATATGGTCCCCATTTCAACATCTGATGGAGCTATTGTGTTTCAAGGTTCAAGTTTAGCTCAAATACTAGAGCAAAACTATTGAAACAAATTGAAAAACGCCTTAATTTGTACAATTTATCTCTCACGCGTTGTAATTGCGTTGCAATTGATGGTTGATTAACCTCAGTTCTTAAATCAATGCCTTCCTATAAGCAAGCAATAAGCTAGACACAAATCTCCTGTACCTGAAATCTCCGCTTAGTAGAGAAATTCAAATCAGATCACCATCGCCTTTGTATCTTATAACATTTTTATACCATACATCATGTGGGTTGCAAGGCTAGTATAGATTTGCATGGATGTATGTAACGCCCAAAGTGGCTTGAGATAAAGTCATCTTTTATCGATTCAGAAAGCGATTCTAAATTTTTCTATCCATCGGTCCGTTTTATTTTTCGACCACTTCCCACTTTAAGCCCTTATCTTGAAAATTCGTTATAGGAGCAATTATATTAAGCGATGGATGTTGTGTGGTAGTTAACGGTGGATCGTGTCCCACTACATAATGTTTTTTCCTGCTTTATTCTAATTTTTATTTTTATTCATCCATTTATTTATTTATTTATATATTATAACATTATCCCCTTTCCGTACCCATTACCAAAGGCTGAAGGGTATATTCACACGCCCTACAATCCTCACATGTCTTTGCAACTTCGTCCTCCCTTGTTTTTTGCTTATTCCTTATAAACAACAACATGTGCGCCCACCCATCCATATTATATAAAGTATGAAAATTTACTTCTTCTTCATTTTTTGAAGTCCTTTTCAGCATCATGCTGATGGGTGGTTTTCTTTTCATTTGTTCGATAAATTTATAAAATGTTTGAAGCGATCCGATTCGAGACTTATAATGATGATAAAATTTCTTTAATTAGCTTAAAACTTAAAAAAAAAAAAAAAAAAAAAAAAAACTACAAGATAATGACTATAAGATGTTCCCACGAATAAATTAAATTATTTATAATATTTATGTAGGTAAAGAAAACCGATCCATTAGCGTTTGTTTCATTGCAAAAAACAATACGATATTTATGATATTTTCAAATATATCATAGATGAAGGTGAGCATATAAGATTCGATTGAAAATGCATATGTACGGATTTCTTATTTGTTTATCGTTATTGTTATTGAAGTATGCAAATAGAACAAAATGTTTATTTACTGATAAAAGCTATTAAAAATTACTTTAACCAGTCATTTTACGTGAATATATGCATGTTGTACACGTATATATATATCAATTGATTTGCAGATGTAGAGAAAATATTCGAAGGCATTGATTTGAATATGTGTTTGAATATACATTTATAGCCAGTGTCTTGTGCATAGATGCGTATAGATGCTAACGTCTGCTATTACGTTAAATACTTAATTGTGTTTGTTTCTGTTTAATGTGAATATATTTTAATTGATTAAAATACTTGATGAATATTTACCTTGAACCCTCTGCATTGCTATCGGATTGCAATAGAACGTATTTGAGATCTGGCGATGCTAAAAATGTTTCAGCATTCAATTGACGCTATGGCGTGTGGCATGGCAAAGAAACATTGGAATATATTAAAAAAAAAAAAAAAAAAAAAAAAAAAAAATGCAATAACAATAAAAATAAGAAAATAATCTTTATTTAGATCTTTAAAAGCTTAATTTAATAAATATGATGGTAATATAAAAAAATTATTAAAAAAGAAACTGAATTTACTTACGAATGTTGAGTTGGTCATTAAAACACGCGTTGTATAATTATCTAAATTTAATATGGACAAACCTCCGGTTGGATCACGAAATACAAATTCCGTATCTGCAATGACAATAGCAATATAAGGTATCAAAGCTTACATTAAATAAAATATTCTGCATAGTCATGTCATATATAACAAAGATCATGAGTCATATCCATCCGCAAGTTCAATCTTAATAGTTTTAAGAAAACACACACACACACTGACTCACACACTCACACACACATACACACACACAGGCACACACAGGCTCAGACACAATATCTGTGAAGGTTGCAAAAATATTCTAAGCAAACCAAGCTGCCCCCACCTAATTGACGGGAAATTCGTTTACGCTCACATGATAGACACATATTTACGGCAGTGCATCGTGTAATGTGGTTTATTCCGATCGAATGAAACCATTATGAAGGAATGCTACCAATAAAAATTGAAAAGTCAAGATATCGTGAGCTTTCAATATGAAGGAACATGAACGTTCAGGATATATATGCTGTGATCGGCAGAGATTGCCTCTTTCGATTTTCATTTGTTCGGGCCGATGGCACATGGTCTGTCTGACCAGCGTTTTACATTATATGAAGATATCGGAAATTGGTTCGATTCGTGGATAGCCTCTAGAGATATGAAGTGTTCTTCTTCCGAGATGGTATCCGAATGCTACCAGAAAGATGGGACAACGTAATGGCCAGTGATGGACACTACTTTGAATAAAACATAGTGTACTGTTCTTTTACAATAGATACCTAGTTTTTGATAGAATGCGGAGCATTTTGACATCTGGATTGTGCTTGCAGTCGAAACTAAATGCGAGCATACTTGACTAGATTAGCTTGATACTGAAGCGCAATCGGATAAATTTTCTGGTGGATGATCGGTTATTGTGTTAGTACATACTGAATCCGTTGATAGGGTGATAAACTAAGCTTATCATTTGACCTGTCTTTGCATAAGGCATACTTTCGGATATGAGGCCTTAACTCGACTAGGCTGGATTACTCAAAACCACAAGAGATATTACACATGTATTCGATCGAAAATTGTACGTAATTGAAAAACTGTACACAAAATTATCAATGGCACCAACGTAAACGATAAATTCATCTCGATTGCATTCCTAATCATTTCATTTTACTCCATTAACGCATTCAAAAGTTGTGTGTTGACTATGATTAATTAAGCAAAGAGTCATATTATCTATCTCAGATTCATCTTGGTATTGCATAAATTCGTATCGTACATTAAATGTACCTAATGTGCGCAACTAATGTAGCGCATACCAGCAACAAAAGATGAATTAATATAATTCCTAGTATACGTTATAAAATAAACTATTTATGAGCGATGCAAGCGTACTTTGGTTGTCTGATGTATTGATGGATTATAATAAAATGTAATTTGCTTATTTTGGCTATAAGAACTTACCACTATGCCACGTGCCATTAAATGATTTCCATTGAAATCTTTTACCCAGAATATCATTCAAGGTCAAACGATTGCCACGTATACGTAAGCCTTCATCCTCTGAAATTATGCAGCAACAATGCAGAAAATTAATATGCGTGCTTTAGATGAATTGGTTCAATAAATACCTGGTGATAGTAAAAATATGGAAAATATAATTAAACTGAAAACGGCTGCTATGACCAATAATGCTATAAAAATGCCTCGCCAATTACGTCTCTCCGGTGAAATGGCCACCAATTCCTAGAATGAAATAAATGACAATATTTACAACAATTATTGCAAACTTCTATAAATTCTTCTCTTGGTTTTTTTTTTTTTTTTTTTTTTTGTTTTTTGTACAAAATTGCATTTTTTACTTTTTCCACTTGCAATACAGGGTGTATTAAATTGGTGCGGATGTATGCAACATCCAGCACGATTTAAGATGAATCGATCTTTTATGATATCAACAGCTCGATAATTATTTTCTCAACCGATTTAAGCTTTCCTGCCTACCGATTTGTCCGTCTGTTTTGTGTGTTCATATACTAACCTACAAAATTCAATATAGGAGATATTTTGAGCAAATTTGCTACACCAAAATGTTTTGACTCAAGAGCGAATTCTGCTGAAAACAGATTGAATTCACTAATTATTGTTACCGCTTCCTATGTAATGCCTTGAAGAGTGTACGGAAATATATTCATTGTATACAAAAGGCTTGTCTCTAATAATTAATTAATATGTAGGTTAAGAAGAAAACATTAGATTGAAAAATACATGGATGCACATCAGACATGTAGACGTGTAAACCGGATGAGATATATTCAGAAAAGCATTCCGCACCGATTTGTCTAATAAAAGCAAATTTCAAATTATATTTTCTCAATTTGGTTAATCTTAAGCGATTGCTTAGATTCGTTGGGCTATAGTTTAGTTTATTTAATGGTTAAAATGCCCGGATACTTGGTGCAGTAGACCGTGGATTGAAATTAATTGCATTAGTTTTGGATAAAGCTAATATGGGATGATGCACAAAAAAGGGGATCGAAATGATTACTTTTGGTAGCAAATAGGTATGTGTCGTTGGTATCTCGAGAACGCTAGAACAGTCACAAAAAAATTTCTTATAGAAATTGGAAGGTGTTTGCATGTAAACAAAACTCGCCAAGAAATTTCGGAATATTACATGCGGTACAACTATACTTTCGGGGGTGGAAAATTAAAAGCGATTAAAACGTGCTCGGCAGTTATCACTCAGTTAAATAATACGCTGCACAAATTTGTCTGCTAGAGTTTTAGTCGAATAAAAATGAGTTTCTTAGAAAGAGTGGAAAAAAGGGTGGAATTTGTGAAGAGAAAATACGAATTTAAATTAATTATATCCTACAGCACTCGTGGTAAGGGAATATTAAGTTGATTCGGATGAATATGCAACACATAGACGGGCTTAAGGTAGTCCCATCTTCTATTACATTAATTGACTCAGAATTATTTTCGTAATTGGCTCTAGTTTGTGTGTCCATCTGTCCATCCATATACCAAGGCAACCCGTTAATAAAACAACTGTAACAACTGTAAACCAACAATGAAAACACAATGAAATTTTGATACATATCGTGTGAAGGTGAGTATTATGTAAAAAATCCTATGGATTTGGCAACAGTGTTGCCCAATATGCAGCAGACCGAAACCTTGTTGAGAGCTGCAGTATATGAAAATATATTGTATGTTTATGATCACATTGTCCAAGATGTGGGTGTGTTTTAATTGCGTTATTTGCGCGAGAAAGAAACGTAACTGTGAATGAAAAGAATTATACTGAAGTTGAAGTGGGTCTTACTTAAGGCTTAAATGAAATTGAAAAACACTGTTGCGGAAATTGTAAATTTTGAATTTATTCAGTTATTATAACTCGCAAGATGTCTTAGAGGATCAAAAACATGTATACGATTATTTGCGATCGTTACAAATGAAATGGCAATGTTAGTGTGCCTTTATTTTAGATTATTACGTATACAAAACGTTAATAAAAACACTGCAAAACTTTGTTCAATTTAATGTTTTTAAAAAATTCTCAACAAAACAAAAACACTCTGAGTGCATTGAAGTATTCAGTGAAACGCGACAAATCAATCAAGAATAAATATATAAAGAAAAAAAAAAAAAAAAACAAAAATGAACTACTCCAACAAAAGAGAAATAGAAAATGGGAAAAGGGAAAGGCGGAATAAAAAGGAAGCGAGTCAGGGCTTCGTATAGCTAATATTCATTATGTGTGTATTGTACGTATACATGATTAATTCGTAGAGCGTAACTTTGGCACAGATGTGAATACTTTATCTGAAAAATGTAGTGCAAAATAAGTTGTACGTTCATCCAAACATACATACTTATGTTGGTATAAATCTGGAATATATTAAAGTGTCTTACTAAGCATCACTTTTCCTATTCTCATATAAGGACAGCTTAAAAGTGGGCTATGCAAGCGCACACTGTGCGAATTATTATAAATTTCGGGGTGTGTGTGTGTGTGTGTGTGTGTGTGTGTGTGAGAAAGAGACTGAGAAAGAGAGAGAGAGAGAGAGAGAGAGAGAGAGAGAGAGAGAGAGAGAGAGA